CCCCGTCGCTCGTTGCGGAGCCCCCGGGGACCCGCGCGTCGCCCGACGGATGCAGGAAGTGCGCTTATAGCGAGCGAGGTATTCTGCCGCTTCTGCTTCCGTGACTTGCGGGATCTGGAGTGGGGGTTCTTCCTCTTCTCCTGGTTCCGCTTCGTTGTCCGGCTCCTCTGTTTCTGCTTCTGCCGTTGTCTCCCCTTCTGCAGGTGCCGTTGTGAGGTAGAGGGCGAGGAAGTCGCGATCGGGAATGATAGTGAGTGGAGTCGTGGTGCCTTCAATAAAACGCGCGAAAGGATCTGGGCGGGAGATTGGACCAAGTGAGTCCCGCAGAGGAGTTGGTGGTACATTCCCCTCCTCAATCTCCGACCAACGATCACGCCATCGATGGGGCGAGGAAGGAGGTGAGCGGGTGCGCGGGGGTCGACCGAGTGGAATGGCGACGCGAGGGGATGGTTCACCTTGCTCAGCTTGCATCTCGCGTTCCATCTCTTCTTCTTCTTCCTTGGTGATTGGCGCATCCACGTATTCGTTTCCTCCCCATCCGCCGGTGTTGCCCCATCCTTCCGTGTTGACCGTACCGCTGGCGGTGGCTCCCCATGCTCCAGTGGCGGATCCCCAGGTTGCTCCGTCGCCTTCTTCTGGTTCGTTATCTTCATCTCCCCATGCGCCTCGTCGTGCTGTCTCCTCGTCCCATCCAGCCGCGACACGTTCCTCAAACAGTTTCTGTTTCTTTTCCGCCCGGGCCTTGTCTTTTTCTTCCTTGACGCTGAGCTCCTCTGGTGCGTCAGGATCTTTCCACGCCGTGTCGATTTCGCGGCGGTAGACTTCGCGGTTGTAAGGACGTGGTCGTCCATCTTCGTCGAAGGTGGTGGTGTTGGCTTCTAGGATGAACCGGAGCGCCTCTCCAGATGGTGTCGGTCGTTCGACACGTGGTTGTCCGAAGTCATCGTTAGGTTCGCCGAAGATGCGGTGAGTTGTTACTGCAAGTTCTTCTTGCGTCATGCCAGTAGGTTCTGCCTCGGCGCTCTCCGCTTCCTGAATTGCCGCGTATTCCTTTTCGACTTGCTCTCTGCGGCTTGCCGTGGGTGTGTGGCAGGTGGTGCAGAGTCCATTGATATCCGGCTCGTGCAGGTTGATTTCACGGAGATGTGGACTGTGGCGAACCCATGGTCGTCCATCCGGATGCTCCACGGATTCCTTGTTCGTGAAGGCGAACTCGAGAGGGACAAGATCCACGAGCTCGTCTGATGGCGCTTGGCAGGGTGGTATGTCGAAGTCCAGGACATAGATCCCGTTGATCGAGCGGGCTCGTCCGAGATATTTGAACGATTCGGAAGGGGTATCTGGCGGGGCGTATGTGAGAATGAGATCGCGTGTGGCGAGGTCCGTGGTGAGGATGACGCCGCAGTCGCGAAGTTGTCCAGCCGAGAGTAGATTGAAGCGGAGATTCGGAACGTAGAGCACGTCGTTGAATGAGATGTGAGTGTTGCTGTCCCGTGCTTGCAGAACAACAATGCCTTGTGAGTTGGCGCGCAGCTGCTCGTTGTTGGCGACGGTGACGTAAGTTGGGGGGGCGCGGCTCAGGTTCGAAACGTATCGCGTGGATCCCACCATGTGCTGTCCGCAGCAGCTGTCCAGGTACCAGGTGTTGTAGTTGTCGGTATTGCTCTTGCGCAGAAGTAGCGCCAATCGCGGAGTCACCAGGGTTGCCTTGTAGCGCCTGTGGAAGTGAGGGTCTTCGTCCTCCTTCCACCCCACCGGTACGTAGTGTTGATTGTCATGCGGCGGGCTTTCCCGCAAGGTGATTGGCAGGTTCCAATCCTGCTCGTCTTCGTCATACTGGTAATAGTAATTTTCGGTGAGGGGGTTATTCCATCCTTCTTCTGGTTCAAGGAGTCTTCCTTGAATCTCGTCTTCCTTGTCAGGTTCAGCAGTGCGACGTCGGCGCGTCGTCATATTTGCGATGATATTCTGAGGAGCTCCTGATTGAGGTCCTTGATTTTGCTGATGTTGATGTTGCGCAGAAGGACGAGGTGTGCTGAGGCTGAGGATGACGAGCATCCTGTCGGCCAACCCAGTTGTTGTGGTGAGTGGAATTTGGGTGGCGATAGTTGGATCGGGACTTGCATCGATCCGTTGAGTGTCCGAAGACTTTGCATATTTTGCAATAATGGCGCCTAGGTTGTCGTCGCTCTTCACGGTTGTCAGCGTAGAAGGCGAGGCGCTCTCGGCGCGGCGCGGAGCTTGTTCTGCTCGAGTCCATGTCCTGCTGTTCGGACAGGAGTGCGGCGCATAGCGCGGGTTCTGAGATTGTCCCTCGCTGTCGGAGTAACGCCTTACAGGGCTTCCACTCTGGCCCGAGTCCTTGAAGGACTATGTTGACGAAAATCTCTTCCGAGATTGTACTCCCATGCTTCGTGATCTGGTCACGGATGTTGCGACAGCGGTTAATATACGGATTCGCTTTCTCCCCGTGCCCCATCTTTATCTCCAAAAGTTGCTGCAGGAGCCTGCTGGCGGTGACCGAATCCTTCGGCTGGTAAACTTCAACGAGGTGCTTCCAAGCTTCCAAGGCTGGAGCGTCGCTCTCTTTGTAGGAGCGAATGTTGAGTTGTTCCGCAGGCGTCATATTGCGTAGCAGCACACTGTAGGCCATGAGGGACTCGCTGTAGTACTGAGCCCTGGCGACTTCGGTGTTTTCCACCGGTTTAGGGTAGGAGCCGTCGAAGTAATGGTAGATCTGCGCCGTTTGTAGGAGGAGCTCAAGCTCGAAACTCCATGTGTAGAAGTCCTTGCCGTCAAACGCGGCAGTAGTCTTAATTTTTGAGACACTGAGAAAACGGGTTTGTGCAGAGTTGATAGCTTCATCACTTGGACGGGGGGCAGTTGTTGTTGATTTGTCTGTGTCGAGGGAGAAGGTTTGCGCGGCGGTATCACGGCTTTTCTCAGCCGGTTGTCCAGGTTGAGCTGGTTGGGAAGAGGTTCCCGCATCGCCTTTGCGCAGATCTTGGAGTTCTTTCTCCATAGTTGAAAGTCGAGCGAAAAGTTGCTCGAGAGCGGCAGTGCCGATCGTAGTTGTCGCCTCATTTGTCGCACCCGGTTTGGTTTGTCCTTCAGCCGTTAGATTGGCTGGGCCTCCGGATCCTCCGGCGATCTTGGTCTTGGAGCGTGTGCCGCTCGCCAGATCTTGGTTCGGCGAATTTTAAGGAAATGGTGATGCGAAGAATCCCTGAGTAGCTCTCATACCATGTTACAATCCCAAGTGGGACTTAGCGAAGGATCGCTCAGGGTTGATCGCAGAGTAGTATTGCAGCGGAAGTTTGAATCTCAGGTCAGAGTGAATGTAAATGACTGAGTTGATAATAGCATGCATACATCGGGTTTATATAAGAGTACAGGGGAATACGAAAAGACCTAGACTAGCCATGTACTCTAAGGGGTACATTCCCTTATTCTAACCGAATTCAAACCGTGCGGCGCGGGAACCCGTTTCAAACCTGTTCCCGCTCTTTTCACTTCAAATGTTTCTGCCAGCATCGGTCTTGGTCAGACGGTTGCTGCGTCGCTTCGACTCTTCTGACTCCTCGACTTCGTACTCGGTAGAGTCGGCTCCTGCAGCATACAGGAATGCATACTCACACAATTTCATATCGTAACAGTAGTTACGCGATGCAACATGGTAACTGTCAAGAAGAGCAATAGTCGTGGTTACTGTAGCAATGAAATTCATTTAATAAGGGAATGTACCCCGCAGAGTACATGGCTAGCTAGTTTGCTATTTATACATTTGTACTCCTATCTTATAATCATCTTGTTCTCTTTCATTTTTTATCAACCAGGTCACTACCAAGACTTCATTGTCTTCTCTTAACTTAGCAGACTTATCCTATCCACTTCGATCCTTCAGTTATAACAACACACAGGAATAGTTCGAACCTGTTCTTGCCCCTTACCTTTCAGATCTTTCCGCTGGTAAATGTCATCGATTGCAACTGCCTTCGACTCATCGACCCATCATGTGCATTCATATGTGAATCTGTTACATTCAGGAATGTCAAATTTAACATTCGAGTCACAGATGTGATGAGGTTTGCTTAGCTACCACTAAATTTATTTATTGTTTGATCCTTGTTTTTTGTGAAATATTTCAGAATGCTTATATTGCGCAGGGAGCTCAGTGTAGTACCTCATTATCTGTACCTGATACCAGGTTCGCGCATCGGGTACACAGCTGGAAGTTCAAGTGATCCACACTTCGCGGTCCGCACTCCTCGCGAGGGCAGACCTGTTGAAGTGGTTGATGATCCACCTGTTCCTAGTTGTGGCGAGTGGGTGTGGGTCTGTGAGCAACTACGGAGGCGCCTCGGCTGATGCTAGCCCACATGACATGGTAGCCGAAACAAACGAGCCCCTCACCTCCTGCAGGCGCGAACTTGTGCGCAAATGAAGCAACGTTACCCTGTACCTAGGATTGACGATTTTTCCTTATCGAATGTGCTCAGTAAATTGCCTACAGCAACAAACCAACGAAGCTCAGCGAAGCGCATGCGTCACGATAGAACACTGTGCTCCACACCCATGGCGGTGACCCCTGTCCCCCCCACTGGTGATGTGGCACTGGCAGCGACAGGTCACAGAACAAACAAATTAGGCGCAAAAGCAGCTCCTGCCTCGCCGACTATAAAGAACCAAGGATACCAAACGACTTGTATCAGCTCCGTCTATCACCAAAAGACCATCCTTACTAGTTCCCTTCAAGAGACCGAAAAAGCTAGTGGCTTAGCGGGTTTTGCGACATTGTGAGAGCATAGACTTAGACAGTCCAACATGGGCGCGAGCACGAGAGCATCGAAACGCAGTATGCTGCTGGCCGTTCTGATCGGCGCACTCCTTTTCGTCGCTGATGCGCACTTCCAGTCCACGCTCATGGTACGCCGTTCAGGGTTAGGGCTCGCCGCATTCACGATCCGAAGGACTCGCCGATAGCTTGCCAGTGCCTCCACATGTCCTGTTTAGAATATTCTGCAACTTTCTTCATCCTTGTCGCATTCTTTGATACTCTTCAGGCGGACGACACACCGCGGAGGCGGCTGGCGAAGTACCAAACGGACATGGCGGAAGCAGAGGCGGTGCTCATGCAGCCCGTGCCGCAGCCTGCGCGCAGTGAAGTGTTTTCTGGCGGACCCGCGCCTGTCGAAAGGTACGCTGCGAGCGACGTTCGCCGTGCACCCCGACTCCGAGCGCCGCGCCTTCATTCTCTCCTCGAGCCACCCCAATTCCCACGACCTGTCCCCCACCCCGCAATTCCCATCATGCCGCAATTGTCGCTGGACGCTCATCTCGATACCACGCTCATCAGGAGCGTCGTTGTATTGACGGCCTTCAGTACTCATTCTGACGATAGGGAATTGCATGCACTACACCTCTCGATTCTCGTCATCGATCGCATATGCATATGTTTTTTTCCTCTCGTTTTACCCCCTGTCGCTTCACGACAGACTGTACGAGGCGGGTCTTGGATCCTGTGGCATTCCCGACATCGACGACCCCGAGGAGTGCGTAGCGGACCTCGCGGCGTTCCCCGCGCTGAACCGCAACAGCGCCAAGGTGCGCCAGCTTGCGTGCCTGGCGCACAATTACTTGCGCCCGTGGATGGGCATTCCGGGAATCGCAGAAGGCATGGGCGCGCGCGGAATGATCAGCCCGAAGCTTCTAGGGCAGATGGCGACAATGTCGAGTGTTCTGTCCTGCTCTGGGCACGTGCGAATCGTCAAAGGAGAGATATTTTTCCGCTTCGGTGGATTCGAATTTGATTGGTACAGGATGCGCCGCTTCGTCTTCTCCATCCGAATGATCGAGGAGGCTATTATCGAGTACAACCTGTACAACCTGAACGCCGAGTTCTTTATCAGCACCTGCGATCTCCCCACCAGCCGAGTCAGCTCCGTAGCGAAGCACCGCGCGGGCCTTCCGATATTCTCCCCCCACGGCGCTCCCGGCAGCGTAGACATTCTTTACCCCGATCCCGTGGATCTGAGCAAGAGTTATTTCAGGGACATCGAGGATACGGTGCCGTGGGAGCAGAAGCAGGGCCGCGCCGTGTTCCGCGGCGGCATGACCAACTTCTTCGTGCAGTACGACACGCAGTGGCGCTCCAGCCCGCGCTTCCGCGTCCACCGCATGTCGGAGGTTCGGCCGGACCTGGTGGACGCCAAGGTCGTCGGCAACGTCGACCCCAAGTTCCTCGACCGGTGAGCGCCGCCTCAATTTTCTCCCACGTGTGGATAACGCTGTGTCTACTATTACCCCTCTTTCTTCCTGTGTAACATCGTCGTTCACGGTCACGCGTTCCTTTTCTTCACAGCGTCTGAATAAGTGGCTAATGGAAAACTAACACAATGCATTCCGCTGCACGCGTTTCCCCCTTGTCCTTTCCAGGATGCGCGACGACAAGGTGGAGCTGGGCGAGCGCATGGGCCCGGCGCAGATTCAGGAGTTCAAGTACGAGCTGGACGTGGACGGCGGGACCGGCAGCGGGCGCGTGTGCTGAATTCTGTCGAGCAACCAGATGCTCATCAAGCAGGCCAGCGAGTACACGCAGTTCTTCGACCCGCTGCTCTGCCCGCACCGCCACTTCGTCCCCACGCACCGCTATTTCTCCAACCTCTTTTCGCAAATCGAGTGGGCGAGGTCGCACGATAACCAAGCGAGACGTATCATTCGCCAGGCAAATAACATCGCTGGTGACGTCTGCACGTGGGAAGGCCGGCGGCTGTACTGGGCGATTCTCTTGGCTAAGTATTCCGTAAGCGCGCTGGAGAGCGCTGCGAATGTGACGAAGCCGAATGTATTCCAGTGCAACGTGCCTCCGACACAAGTCGACGTGGAGAACTCGTCCAAGTACTCCAAGCCGAAGCCCGCCAAGTGGATTCCGCGATGCAAGGTCCCCGAGGAGATGCCAAACCAGCCGCCATGCACGCACTTCTGCGCTGGGCCGCTAGACGAGCCTCAGAAATGGAAATGGCTGCCTTCGAGTCTCCTGCATGGCATCGAAGTGTTCAAACCCGACAACGGCAGAATCAAGTTTCGCCCGTCGTGAGAACGTTTTCCTCGGCCTTTCCGCCGCATAATGAGGGTTGATCGATTCCGTGGAGCATGCGGGAGGCGCGGTACCAAATCCATTCTACCCCTGGGGGTGATGGAACAATAAAGTGCTACCGCCAGCAAATAAATACGTTAGAATCATAAATACTACTCCTATTTGTTTAATTTTACTAGGCGGAATGTAGCTTCAAACAAAGTATAATTCACGATTCCACCATCAGCAAGAGGAAGTCATACAGGAAAGGAAGTCAGCCAATTTAGTTATGACCACAACAGTTCACAATAAATTAATAACAAAGTCTCTTAACAGTAAGCTGATTGTAGTAAACCTTTTAAGCTTACCGCGCAGTTCAACAGTGCTAGTCAAACAAAAACTGGTCACCACTATGCCAATTGACAACGTTGATGTTTACATTTTGGATGAATTTATACAACTTCAGGTTGCTAGCAACATACCGTACTGTACTTTCAGGAATCAGGACCCTTGCTTCAGTTTGCTTTATTTCCAAATAATTGTGAGGGAGGACGAGATGAAGACCGCGGATCATGTGGGAGGACAGGAGATCACTTGGAATGTGGGACGATTAATCTAGGTTAGCGAAGAGGGTGATGGGAGCAGGGGAGGGGGGATGCTTCATAAGGCTAGGGGAGGGGAGGGAAGGGGAGTGAGGGAGGGTGAGGCGGAGAGCAAGGAAATCAAAGCGTGGAGGACGAATCGAAGGAGGGAGGAAGGGAACTAGAAGGAGCGGATCAAGAATGAGTGGTAGATGTCAGGTAGTCCAGTAAATTAGGACGGTAGAGACGATACTGAAGAACAGGAGGACAACGAGATGGGAAGAGTCTGAACGAGAAAAACACCGACGACGGAGAAAGGAGACGAAACAACAGCATTGCCAGGAGGATGGAACGATTTAGTGTGCGAACAGAAGAAAGGAAGTAGGAGGGAGTCGGGAACGGGGAGAGCTGTTGGAGCCCGGGGAATGGGCAGAAGGAGGGCGATACAAGTGGACGAAAACTGCTGTCCTAGTGATCACGAAATGTTCCAAAACGATCTGCTGATTCTAAGTTGTGGTCCGCCATCGGATCTGCCATCAATCTTTCTGACAGCATCAGTTAGCAGTTTCAACCACCCAGCTCCCCAACGCTACTTCGACATCACGATCACTTCGTTGTAAAACAGTGGATGCGGAATAAAGTGTTTCTGTAGCATGTGTGTACACAAGATGAGGACGAGGCTGCTATGCTATAGAAAAGGGTGAATTCGTTGCGACGATCAAGATTCAAAAGCGAGCTATGCTCGGTATATACTATACTGACGGTCCAAGGACCTCCCACCTCATCATCAGAAAAGCGATTAGATTCAGAAGAATCACTTCTCAGTGATGGCCTCAGGCTTTGACGGACCATCCTGCACAGAGGTAACAAATAGAGGATTAAAGTAAGGATCTTGATGGTCTTTGACGACATCCCATGGCTCCCAAAGCCGATGAAGTGCAACAAAAAAGGATTCACCACCCGAATCGCGTAACATAAAGAAAAACACACCAGTACGTAATCTTGGTGGAGTTTTCGGGCAAGCTGCCACATGGCGGTTGCGGAGAGGAAAGCGTTGACGCTAAAGAGATTCCAGTTGACGGGGACAATGTCGAGACTGTACTTCATGAAGATGAGGCCGGTCACCGCGGCTGCCGATTGTTGCGGGTAGGAAACCTTTTCTGCAGATTATGTGGGAGAACGACACAGCATTGTCAGGCCTGTGTCAAAACAAGTTTTTATTTCTCAAAGTTGCACTGAACTGATACGGCCATGTCCCAACGACAACGATACGGCCACATGGTTAGGAGAAACTAACGTGGACAATGCAACCCAGCGAGGTGCCATCACAATCCCAACCTGGAGGCCGATTGTAGTCAGCGATGTTGGCTAGCCCAAGGCTCCACTTGAAAGTAGGAGCCCAGAAGAAGACAGTCTTAGGGCCAGCAGGGTGGTTGTAGAAGTCCCTGGCCCATTGAAAGGCTCTTGAAGAGCTCATGATTTCAGATACTGACTACCAGCATTCAAACCTACGCGATCCTTCCTAACTCCACCAAAGACGGGAAACTGTGAAGGTTATGGAGATGGAAGACTGGACGCATTGCAGTTAGTTTGCTGGACTTGTTACCAGCAGGTATGGAGGACATTATGCACGAAAGGTTTGCAGGCTACGCGAAGGTTATAAAGCATATGGTTACAAGTTTCAAACAACTCGTGGACGCCAACAAGGCTGCCGCGGTGGAATCGAGGTCCGCTAATTGAGGGACAATGTCCACCTAATGCAAAGATTTTTGTCGCATGGTCTGTATCGACCAATCTGATTCGCTAAATGAACTGCCCTGCCGAGATCCAGGCAGGGTGATGAGCTGGCAGCTTGCAGATTCGACATAAGAGAAATGCTTCGTCCCCGTTACATCCGTAATACGACTTGCTGTATCACCTCTTGTTTTTATAAAAAGGTTTCTTTTACAATTTTGCGCCTATTGATAGCAACGTCACCGGGTCATCGTGAATACATATTTAATGTGTTTGGATTCGTTAACATAGCTTAATGCGGCTGGAAAGGCGCGTAAAAGTAGAAAATGTGCTAGAAGAGTAATGTTTATGAGTTTGTGATGGTTTATTAGAGTAAGGTGTAAAGACCAATGGCACTGTACTCCAAGTCCCTCACACCACCAACCCTTGGTTCTTTTTGAGAAGGGAAAATATGCCATAGGTAACCAACAGGGACCCGTACGGTCACTGTATCGGGTGTTCTGAATGGTTTGGTAAGTGGGGTCACGGATTCAGTCACTAACAATAGGTAAACAATCACGCGAATGGTCACACATGTAACTCTCGCCAAAAAAACTTGAAACTCAACAGAATTCCCGCTCGCTTCCAACCAATCTGCTAACTTCTAGAAAAACTAAACCCAATCGGAATCGGATACGGTTTGGGAACGGATCAACCTTAAACACCTGGCGAGTTACTCGTTTAGGGTTGATTCATCCGAAAACGCTTCCAGGTTCCTTTTGGGTTTCATTTGATTTTGGCGGGAGTTTCATCTATGACCATTCTCGTTTTTTTTTACCAGTTGATAGTGACTGATTACGTGAAAAGTTTTATCAGTCGCGTGAAAACACCCTTTGCAGTGACCGTACCCTTTATTGTTTTACCAAAAACGTTATCGAGTCCCATGTTGGTTACAAATGGCATATTGTCCCTTGGGAATGCCTGCTTCTCCCACGGGGGCCTCATTGAAGCCCATGATTTGTTCGTTTCGCCAACAAGGCGCTGCATGCTCAAGGTGCTGAGCTCCCGATCTACGAGGGAGGATTCAGGGCTCCTGTCGAGAACTCAGGTCAGGCGTGCTCGACACGAAGTTGGACACACAAATAACCCGACGTTGGCTCACTGACGGGGCAAAAAAGGTGACAACGATGACCCGAAGTGGGCTCGGCGCCTCTCACCTAGACGTCTGATACGCGCCCTAGGCTTCGGATGTGTTGGGGCATGCAAAACTTATCGAGTTGAAGGTTTTTTCACCCCAAAAGTGAGAGTGGTGGAAGGAATCGAATTCAGGACTGACCGCCACTTTTAGGACCGTGGCAGCTTTCAAGGTACTGTAGGGTTTACTCCAGGGACCTGTGCGACTGAACCAAACAATCTCGCCATGACCCAAACAATTCCAAACCAACTGAACCAGCCCAGTCCCACACAGCTATAGTCCCGTTCCACCCATCAAGAGTTTGACCGTGTCCCAGAGGCATTCTACGTATCTTGATCGCTACTGAGCTGTGGGTCCGTTATCCGTTTCTCCCGATTCTGCCGAGGCTTTTATGCACCTAGTCTCTCCGCTCTCTTCCGCCTCCAGTCACTACAGATTGAAGTAAATATTAGAAGGTCGCTTCGATTAATCTACAGTAACATTAGGTTTCATTTGACGGCCACGTGTTAGAAGGTGAACAATGGCGACGATGGAGGTAGCGGGGTGGGAGGACAAGGACGCGTTGTTAGACAGCGCGTGGATGGACGCAGCTACCAAGGATGACGAACCCGAAGACGACGGACCCAACCCTGACGACTTCCGTCGCTCTCGCACGTTTACGTCGTCCATACTTTCCCGAATTACCGCGTCAACACCTGGGAGAGGCGAGTCTAGCAGAGCGACCCCGCGCGGAGCCAGCGACGGCAAGGCGGCGTCTGGCGGCAGCGGCGCCAAGGACGGCCCGAGGCCGCCCAAGTGGCTCAACTTCCGGGGCTCCGCGAGCAAGGCGGCTCCCGACGACAGCAGCAAGGCGGCGGCTACTCCAAGTGCGAATCGGACCGCAGCCTCGAGATCTTCGGACGCGAATTGGTCCGACAAGCAGTTGTCGCCTCCGGCAGACACGTCTGCAGCTGACGAGCCGTCAATGGACGATCTTCGTCGATCCGTTACCGTGTCCGCCGTTGATAGAAGCTCGTTGCGCCGGCAGCACAAGGAGATGGGCACCCTCCGCGCGACTGCCGAGGTTGCGAACAAGAAGGCGGGCGCGCATGGCGGCAGGAGCAGCGCCTTCACCGGCGTCGGTAGCGGATTGGATGCACAGGGTGCTCAACCTAACCCGGGAAACGCGGGCGGGCTTGCACGGACGCGATCCGGCGGAAGCGCGACATCGGTGGTGTCGCGACCTCCCGCCCCCGCGTCGGCCGCTAAAGTCGCCTTCTTCTCGTTCAATAAACACCGCGAGGCCGTCGCGGGCGCGGAACAAGCGGAGCAGCTGACGCTTTCCGCGGATGAGCAGAGGGCGCGCGGACAAACGGGAGAAGCCGTCGTGCGGAGAGGCTATGGGCGGCGGGCGCAGAGCATTGGCGGAATGGCTGGGGAGCTGCGCGGAAGAGGAGGCATTCCGGATGGCGGGAGGGCCGCATTGGGAGGCCCGGTTCGGGCCAGCTTGGGAAGGTGAGTGAGAAACTTCCGGACGTGGGACGGTACGCAAGAAAGCTAAAGATCGAATCTTATAGGTCATGATACGGGTTGTGGATAGCGGGCCCAGGATGGTTGGAAGTTAAGGCGTGCAGAAAATGGCAGCGCGTGTTCGAGGCCACTGGTGTGCCGCGCGGATAAGCCTGGGTTGTACGCAGTTACCTTACCTGTAGCCGTCCGCGTTTCTAGGAGCCTCTTGTTCCAGCCAATTCTGTTGTTGAAGGCGGAGCAGAGCTGAGGACCGGGCAATCTGTAGAGCGCATCGCGGTGACTTTTAAGTCAACTCAAAGTCACCGCAGTCCATCGAGCGCCCTCTCTCATCATCGGGCCCCTGTGGTGCTGCACCTGGCGCTGCTTTATCCACTCTCCCTCGCCTCTGCCATCCTCCGAATTCTCCCTCCCGTCCCACTCCCCCCCGCCTTCCCTTCCCCCAGGAGTCGCAGTGTGGGCAACGCTCAGAGCGACGCGGGCAGCCATGGTCTCTCGCCGTTGCACCCGTCCGCCTCGCGCCTCTCCGCCGACCCCGACCGCCCCGCCTCCCCCCAGCTCATGCGCCGCCCCCGCGGCCACTCCGCCTCGATGCTGCCCCCCACAATGCGCACCTCCACGCCTCCCCGCGCGCCCGACCCAGGCGAGCGCCCAGGCTCGTCCCTGTCCGAACGAGGGAGTGGTCCGACTGGGCGGCGTAAGAGTGGCGTGTCTCGGAGAAAGGAAGGGGGGGGATCAGTAGGAGGCTCGGAAAGAACGGGGTCGCCCCTTTCACGAGGAGCTTATAGCGGGTACGCAACTGAGGATGGGCCAGGGAGTGTTGCAAGCGCGGGGCTCGTGGGTGGTACGGGGGAAGGCGAATACGAGCAGTACCAGCAGCGGGGGAGCAGAGGGCGCGGGATGGGCGCAGGGGGAGGGACGCAAGGGGGAAGGCATGGGCGGCAGAAATCAAGCAGCAGCAGTGGAGGGGGTGAGGGGGAGGGCGTGCGAGGGGGGATGGGCGGAGGTGGGCGCGTAGAGGGGGGAGCGAGTGCGGGGAGAATGGGGAGGGGAAGCGTGGCAGTGAGGGGAGTTGCGGGTGGGGGGGTGGCTGCGAGTGGCGGGAGAGGAGCGGCGGGCGGGCATGTGTACGGGTATGGCAGAGGAGGGGCGGCGATCGAAGGGGGGGAGGATGAGGGGTATGGGGAGGGAGGGGTGTGGGAGGAGGAATTTGATAGTGGGGAGGGGGTGGGGGGGCTGGTGGGTGCTGAGGAGCAGCAGCAGCCGCAGTGGCAGGGGCAGGGGCAGGGGCAGGGGCAGGGGCAGCAGCAGTGGCAGGGGCAGCACATGCAGGCGCCGCAAGGGCATGCGGATGGGTATGCAAGTGGATACGTGGATGGTGAAGGGATGTTGCAAGGGGAGGAGGAGCAGGAGGGAGGCGACGCTTGGTATGAGGGAGGGAGAGGGGGGGATCCTGGGGCGTACGAGCAGCAAGGGGCGTGCGGTGAGGGCGCGTACGAGGAGGGCGTGTATGGGGGCGACCAGGGCTATGATGAGCAGGTTGGGGGGACGCAGGGCTATGGCAGGCAGGCAGGGTATGAAGCAGGGTACGGCGAGGCAGGGCGTGCGGAGCAGGGGTATGGGCGGCAGGGGAAGCGGGGCGGAGGGCACAGCGAGTACAGCGAGACAGGGTATGGGGAGCAGGACCATGAGCCGCAGGGGTATCATGACACAGGGTATAATGATCAGGGGTATAGCGAAGAAGTGTATACTGAGTAGGGGAGGGGTGTGGGGTGCAGACAATTAGGGAGTCATTGGGGTCTGACAGACATAGGGGTGCAAGGGGGAGAGAGGGGAGCGAGGATGGGCGGAGAGTGGGCTTTCCTTGTGTCGTTGCTGTGAGAAATAGGGGCACGGCTCCTACGGTACTCTCTCTCTGTTGCTGGAGGGGAGTGAAGAACAATGTACCTAACTGCTGCTCCATGACCCTAAACCCTGTGGGGGACGTGGCTGCAGGTTAGGGGTTCACTTGGGTGCTTGTAGCAGCGATGGTGAATGCTGAATGCATCTCTGATGGTGTGGCCAATGCAGCTGGCAGATGTGTCATGTGTCTCCACAAGCCTCCCTGCCAATTGCATGCTCTGTGTAGAACGTTTAAAATGCTAATATCTGTACAACTATCTTACATGATGAATATATATTTTAAGCTGGTACAAGATTATTTGACCGCAGGCACACTACACTCTTACACACATGATCCACCGCATCCAGCTCCCACAACCCCGCCCCCTTCATCCCCACCACCGCCTCCTCCGCCGTTCCCCCCCTCCCCCCCGCCACCGTCCACGCGCCCTGCTGCACCCCCTGTGACTCAAACGAGGAGTTCACCTCCGATGGCGCCATGTAGCACGGCAGCCCCACCCTCCATACAGTCACACCCACACGAAGTTTCCTCGCTGCTTCCTCCAGAGCAGCCCACCGGGCGGCACTGCTGCCTTGGTCCAGCCATGCGGCTCGCAGCGCCTCCCATGACCTTGACCTCGATTCCTCCTGCCCACTGCTCTTGCCTGCGCTCAATCCACTGTCGCTGCTGCCACCGTCACTGCTGTTGGTGGGGGTGCCCCAGAGCAGGTGGGCGAGCAGGGAGTGCAGGGCGGAGTGGGCAGCGGGGGAGGGCGGCAGGAGGAAGACGTCTGACAGAGGCGAGTCCCCCACCCCCACTGCCACGCCCGCCCGCTGCCACGCCTGCCATTGCTCCCCCCCCTGCCCCGGCTGCCCCTGCTGCCACTGTTGCCCCTCTGTTTCTGGCTGGTAACCTGTGGCCTGCTCTTCACCCGTTCCCCCCTGCTCATGCGGACTAGACCCACCCCACTGCCACTGCCCCTGCTGCTCCCCCTGCTGCCCCTCCCCCTGCTGCCCCTCCCCCTGCTGCCCCCCATGGCTGTGGGGCGGGTGCAGCAGGCGGGGCGAGAGGCAGAGGAAGGGGTCGCCGCGCCACGTGACGGCAGGGGAGGCCAGCAGCACCGGCACGCGCACACGGGTTGACAGCAGCACGGCCGTGCGCAAGTGCGCAGGAGACGGGATGATTGGGTGAGGGGGGGGAGAGGGGGGGTGAGAGGAAGGAGGGGAGGGCGGGGAGGGGAGGAGGGAGACGAGGTGGCCGCGGGTGGCGAGGTGCAGGGCGAGGGCGGGGCAGGAGGTGAGCACGGCCCAGTGGGAGAGGCCCAGCCCGTCCATGTGGCATGCCCAGTTGCGTGCCAGCTGCTGCCATGCGGGCGGGGCGGGGGTGTCAGTGGCGCGCAGCAGGGAGGCGGCCCAGGGGTGTGCGTGGTGGTGGTGGTGGTGGTGCTCGGGTGCAGCGGAGGGTGGGTGGTCGGGCAGGAGGAGCAGCGCGAAGGAGGTCACCTGTGGTGCAGGGAGATGGGGTGTGGTTATGGGACGCACGAGGACGCAATCAAAAGTCAGGGTTGCGAGAGGAGCAGAAAGAAGAAGATGAATCAAACCCAGCACGCTCCACCCATGAATGCAGCATTGACTGCGTGTCCCACTCACCCCTCTCGCACTCTGCACCGCTCGCAACAGCTCCTCATCGCGTGTCACCATCGATGCATACGTGGCATCCGCCACTCCCGCTGCGCCTGCTGACTCAGCATCGCCTCCTTCTGACGCGTCATCAACTCCTGCACCACCCTCCTCTGCTCCCCCTATAGCCGCGTCGTCGTAACCGGCTGCCTCCGCCTCCCTTCCCCCCCCACCGCGCTGCCCCTCATCCCCATGCTCTCCAGCGCCCTGCTGCTCCCCCTGCTCCCCACTGCTCCCCCCCTGCCACGCCCACGCAGTACCCCCTCGCCCCACCCAGGGCAGCGGGCGCAGGCAGAAGTCAAAGCGAGGCAGTGATGCTAATGGGGGCAGCTGTGTCCACCACCACGGGCCCTGCTCCGCTGCTCCCACCTGCTCTGCTGCACCCACCTGCTCCGCTGCACCCGCCTGCTCTGCTGCGCTCAGGTGCTCCATCATGTGCTCTGTTGCATTCAGGTGTTCTGCTGCATTCACCGGCTCCACTGCACCTATATTTGCAGTGGCAGTGAGGTGCTCCGGCATGAGCAGAGTGGCATCGGCGCCTTTAGACCGCTTGAAGCTCTCGCCCTGCTCGCGGTGGCTCACACTCAGCGCCAGCCCTGCCGGCAGCGACGCGTACAGGTTGAGAGCAGCCGTGGCGTGCGCCCACCGCACGATCCACGGCGTCCAGATGCCGTTGCCCTGCCGTGGGGGGCGGAGGGGGAGGAGGATGGGAGACGAGGCGTGTCACAGCCGCAGCCAGTACAGTGGCGAGCGCATGGTGCAGGGGTGAGCAAGGAGGGGCCCGCGGGGAGGGGGAGAGGGGAGGGGGAGAGGGGAGGGGGAGAGGGGAGGGGGAGAGGGGAGTGGGAGAGGGGAGGGGGAGAGGGGAGTGGGAGAGGGGAGGGGGAGAGGGGAGGGGGAGAGGGGAGGGGGAGAGGGAAGGGGGAGAGGGGAGTGGGAGAGGGGAGGGGGAGAGGGGAGGGGGAGTGGCAAGGCAGGCCCACAAAAGGTAGTGCAGTGCAAGCAAGGCTGGCAGTGGGTGGGAGTGGAGGACGGTGATGAGAGAGGGAGAAGAGAGAGGAGGGGTGGAGGGGAGCCCACACGCTCAACCGCATGCACAGTCACCCGCACACCCCCCCACCATCCCTCTCACCCCCTTTCTCCTTCCCCCCTCCCCCACGCACCCGCCCCTTCCAGAAGCCCGTGGTCTTGAGCCCTCGAATGACCGGCTCTCGCCCCGGCGTGTAGCGCCGTGCGTCGTACCACACACGGAACGCCCGCCACGGTGCCGGCAGCAGCAGCTGCCCCCACGTGCCCACCAACGCGTACAGGAACGGCCGCCCCGTGTGTGCTATGGGCGGCGCCGGCTGGCCCGGCACGAGGCGCTGGCGCTGCAGGGAGATGCTGTACACGTTAGAGTCGTACTCGCTATGGTTGTAGTAGTAGCGGTGCAGCATGCGCGTGAGGTAGGCGTAGAAGAGCGGTGAGACGGCGACGTCGTCCTCCAACACAAACGCAAACTCGTTGGCACCGCTGGGCCACCACGCCTCCATCCACTGCACCTGCACCCCGCCATTCATGCTGCGCACGTGCACCTGCACGTCACAGCACAGCACCCCCACCGCCGGTCATGCTCTGAAAAGATTTTCAATTCAAGAAGGGTGGGAAGCGCTGTTGTTGAGAATTGCCACAGCCCAGCCTCGCATGTGCTGACAGCCTAGCTCTGTGCCACCACACCACTTTGAGTCGCCTATATAATCGGCACTGTTGAGAGCTTCCCAGTATGCGCACCTGCTTGTGGCCGTGCTGCCATGCGAACGAGTCTGCCACTGCCAGCACCGATCGGAACTTGCGCCGCTTCGATGCCACCTCCCCCGCGCCACGCCTCTGCACCGCTCCAACTACTGGCCGCACCTCCCCCAGCCGCCGCCGCCCCTGCGCCTCCCCCTTCGCCCTCTGCGCCCTCTGCGCCCTCTGCGCCCACAGCCGCCCCCTGTGGCGCCAGTTGGACAGGTCCCCCGCCTCCTCCACGCCAAACGCGCTGCGCCCCAGCCCCACCGCGCCGGCACCCGCGAATCCGCGCTTTGCGCCGCCAGGCAGCTGCGGACTCGCCTCGAGCCCTCGGTTCCGCGCTCCGCCTCCCCCCAGACCCCCCTCCGCCGCGGATTCAGCCTGCACCGGGTCGTCCGCCTGCTCGCCTGCGCCCCACGCACGGCGGTCCAAGCGGCCTCTGAGCTGTAGCGGGTCGCTCAGCTGCACGCCCGCGAACGGGTGGTCCACGTGGATGTCCAGTGACACGTCATCGCCGCCGTAGTCCGCCGCCCGCAATGATTGCAAGCAGCGGGACAGGCTCGCCGCTCGGTCGAACGTGAGCACGATGAGCCGCACGTGCATGCGAGACGCGTCGCGCGCGGAGCGATCCTCCGCGTCGCGGCTGCTCCAGCGGCTTCGTCGGTCGTGCCGGTCAGTGGTGCTGCCGCTGCTGCTGTCAGCGTGCATGGCGAAAGGACTCGAATCGAGAGCATTTGGTGGCCAAATCCATCTCCGCCGTCCATCGCGGCGGCGAGAGCTGATCTGTGCGGACCTGGTGGCGCGGAGAGGCGGTGGCAGATGCGCTGGATGAATGGCCACAAGAACGCGGAATGGGCGCTCAGTGCGACGCAAACGAGGACGACTACAACGAGCGCGACCGCCATACGAGGCAAGAAGAAGGCTGGCCGTTTGTAAACTCCCGCGGCTGCCACTTGCGATTCGCCCGCAGGTGACGTGGCGCGCAGGTGGTCCTTGACGTCCCCATCGGGATTGCCACGTGGCGGCGAGTCCACCCTCCGCGGGTGGCGCTGGCGCCACATGGTCGTGCGTCGCACGCCGTGATGCTACCGCGCGAGCAGCAGTGACGGCGGAGAGGTGAATGCGACGCGAAGACGCTACGCGACGCGGCGAATCAATGCGCAGCAGAATGGTGCAACATGAGATGAGAAGTGACGAATGTGCGTGATGGATGCTTTTTCCACATCGGTGCAATCCAGCTTCCAATATAGACTCCCTCGTTTCTGTGCTCACTTCCGTGAGCAAAAACAAATGTACCATATTACTAGTAGGGTTCTACACCCGCCCTCTACTTCCTTCCTTACGTGGCTCATCTTCAACCGTTGGTTCCCCCACATTGTACGCTGTTGTGTCAGGCCCGGTAGACATCCCCACAGCAGTGACCCACATGAAGCCCCAAACTTGCTCACTCGATTCTGACTTTCCTCTCATTCATCGCACCCTGCTTGGCCCAACCAGTCCCGCGTCATTGTCTGTCCCGCTGGTTCAACCCGCGCCTCATTCTCCCGCCATGGCCGCAACAAGCGCAGCAGCAGCCTCAGCGCTCGCGTCGCCTGCGGTGCGTCCGAACCTCGCGGACCTTCGCACGGCGGGCCATTCCGTCGCAGCGCCCCCCCCGTGCGCCCTTTCGCTCCGATCGTCGTCGGATCGCGTTAATGCCGCGAGTGCTTCAGTCGCCCGCGACGTCGCACAGGTCGCCAGGCGATCCGCCCGAAGAGCGACGTGGATCGCCTCCGTGAACGGCGGGTCCGGCGGCCCCGTGTACAGCGATGGCAACGAGAGCGACGACGCTGATGACGTGGCAGTCAGCGACGAGTCAGTGCCGGATGACATTCACGAAACGCTCGCCCAATCAGCTGCTGCCACGCAATCAGCAGCCTTCATTTCCGCGAGCCTTGAAGCGAACGCGATCGCAGGCGGAGACTCCGCGGAAGAAGCGGCGGCCTTTGCGGCGGCGGAGGTGGCGGAGGCGGCGGCGCGCGCGCAGCAGCGGCAGCTGCGCGACCTGAAGCTGTGCCTGATCGACTCGCTGTACGGCACGGAGCGCGGGTTCCGCGCGAGCGGGGAGACGCGCGCGGAGGTGGCGGAGCTGGTGGCGCAGCTGGAAGCCGCTAACCCCACCGAGGCGCCCACCGAGTCGCCCGCGCTCAATGACAACTGGGTGCTCGTGTGAGGCTCCTGTCTCCCTGCTGTTCGCCCGGTTACCCTCCTCGCGTACTCCTTAACCCCACCACACTACCCCCTCCTCCGCCCTCTCCCATCTTTCCTCTTGCTGAAAGCGCACACTGCTATCCCTTTTCCCTCACGCCCTTCTCACTCTCTCCTTCCATCTCCCCCATTCCTCCCCCCACTCCTTCCCCCCCCCCACTCTCCCCTCCCCCTCTTAGCTACACGTTCTCAGAGCTGCTGCCGCTGCTGGCGGCGGGGCAGGTGCCACTGGTGCGGGTGGGCGCCATCACGCAGAGCGTGGATGTGGCGGGGGGAGCGGTGAGCAACAGCATCTCGTTTGAGGGGCCGCTCACCTCCTCCACCATCCGTGTGGACGCCACGGCCGAGATCAGGAGCGGCAAGCGCCTGCAGGTCAGCACTGCTGGGGGCCGGGGGTGTGTGGGCGCACAAGGACATGCCGCTTGCAATCGCATGGAAACGACCCCTTCGCCTCGCAGTGGGATGCTTCTGCTCGTGCCGGACCTGCTTCTCCCTCTTTCCCTCCATTCACTCTCTCCCTCTCCTCGCCCTCTCCCTCCCTCTTCCCTCCCCCACATCACACTCCACCCCCTCCCTCCCCCCCCCCCAGGTGAAGTTCGAGCAGGTGACCTTCTCCTCGCCGCAGCCCCTCGACGCCACCTCCCCCCCCGCCCTCGCACCCATCGCGCTGTTTGGCCAGACGCTAGACCTCTCCCCCCTGGCAGCAGCGCTGCAGCCGGTACAGCAGGCGGCGCTGGAGGTGGCGAAGCTGGTGTCGGGCGCGCCGCCGCTGGCGCTGCCCATCGATGGCGAGCGGGCAGCGGGGTGGCAGCTCATCACGTACCTGGATGATGACTTCCGGATTGCCAGGGGCGATGCCGGGTCGCTGTTTGTCATGGTCAGGGAGGGCAGTGACCTGCTCGAGTGAGGATGGGGGAAGAGGTTCTGCGTGGGTGGTGCACGGCTTTAGGAGGATGTTTATTTCTGTTCACCTGGTAGTCAAGATGGGAAGTTGTAGGGCTTTTGATTATTATTTCAAGACAACATAAAGACATGGTATATTTGTAGCGTTATTCGCTCATACGGTACTATACTAAACAAAGACCGCATGGGCTGAACTCAATGGTGGGGGAGTGCAGGGTGACCCCCACAGCAAGAGCGCTGTGCACTGGCTGGTTCGTACTGCATCAGCGATGAGCAGCAGAGGTGATGTGCATGTGGTGCATTTATGGGATGGGAATAAACGCACTCAAGCCACATGACTCTGCCTCATCATCACCTTCCCTAAACAGCTAATTGTTAGCGAGTTGCCATTTTCCGATTGGCCCCCCCAGGGAAGGGAAGCCATGCAGGCGCAGCTAGAGCTGGAAGACACGCGCCGTGTGGTCGTCCGACCCCGTCACCGCAAAGACCCCGTCGCTGCAGGGGGTGGTGGGGCGGGCAGTGGGACATGTGGCAGGCAACGGTGAGGGGGTACGTGCAGGGCTGGTGGCATGCAGCGGTGTGTGATGGCTGTGGGGAATGAATGCATCCCTGGGCATGCAAGCACACATGCTAGAGTGGGAAAACAGGGCACATAGTGTGCAGTCTAAACATGCGTTGTGATGGGTGTTGCGGTGAGGGGCGGATTGAGAGGGCTCACGGGGTGAGGGCAAGGGAGAGCACGGCATCACGGTTGCCGCGCAGGGTCTTCTGGATGGCCCCCGTGCGCGCATCCCACACGTGCACTGCTCCATCTGCTGTCGCCGTCACCAGCACCGGTGCTGCGGGCGCCCATGCCATCTGCACCACCCCGTCCTGCCGGGTGGCAGCAAGGGTGGCGTGTGAGAGAGGGGAGAGAGGGGAGGGGCGTGAAGGGAAGGGAGGGTGTGGGAAGACAAGGGAAAGACGAGTCAGGAAGGGGGAGAGAGAGGAGGCAGTATGGCATTTGTGTGCTGCATGAGTGTGCGTGCGTGTATGAGTGAGTGCATGAGAGTGTGTGTGAGTGTGTTAGAGTGTGTATGATCATGTGAGGAGATCACGCAGGTGCATGAGTGCCACATGGGTCAGATGCTACAAGGCACACGAACAGCGACGAGCAGCAAGAGCAGCTGACCTGGTGTGAGCAAGTGGAGCGCAGCTGCAGCGAGTTGATGTCAAATATGCGCACTGATCCATCCAGTGATGCCGTTGCCACCGTTGGCCCCCTGCCATGCCCACACCACACACCACGCACCCATGCATCCACGCACGCACACACACAAGCGCAGAGACAGCAGTGAGGGCGGTACACAACCGTACCACTGCCACAGCAGTGAGGGCGGTACACAACCGTACCACTGCCACAGCAGTGAGGGCGGTACACAACCGTACCACTGCCACAGCAGTGAGGGCGGTACACAACCGTACCACTGCCACAGCAGTGAGGGCGGTACACAACCGTACCACTGCCACAGCAGTGAGGGCGGTACACAACCGTACCACTGCCACAGCAGTGAGGGCGGTACACAACCGTACCACTGCCACAGCAGTGAGGGCGGTACACTACCGTACCACTGCCACAGCAGTGAGGGCGGTACACTACCGTACCACTGCCACAGCAGTGAGGGCGGTACACAACCGTACCACTGCCACAGCAGTGAGGGCGGTACACTACCGTACCACTGCCACAGCAGTGAGGGCGGTACACAACCGTACCACAGCCACAGCAGTGAGGGCGGTACACAACCGTACCACTGCCACAGCAGTGAGGGCGGTACACTACCGTACCACTGCCACAGCAGTGAGGGCGGTACACAACCGTACCACTGCCACAGCAGTGAGGGCGGTACACAACCGTACCACTGCCACAGCAGTGAGGGCGGTACACAACCGTACCACTGCCACAGCAGTGAGGGCGGTACACAACCGTACCACTGCCACAGCAGTGAGGGCGGTACACAACCGTACCACTGCCACAGCAGTGAGGGCGGTACACTACCGTACCACTGCCACAGCAGTGAGGGCGGTACACAACCGTACCACTGCCACAGCAGTGAGGGCGGTACACAACCGTACCACTGCCACAGCAGTGAGGGCGGTACACAACCGTACCACTGCCTGTCCGATAGCACCCTCCTCACTCATGCCTGCCACTCGCGCTGCCTGCCACTCGCGCTGCCTGCCGCCTGCTCACCGTGAAGTCCCATGGGCGTGTGTCGCAGGGCAGTGTGTGGGGAGGCAGTGGCAAGAGGGGCAGGAGGGAGGCGGGGCAGTGGGAGGGCGGGGGGGAGGGAGGCCACTCACTGGGGGTTGAAGACCACCGCCTCCACCGAGTCTGTGTGCCCCCTCAGCACCCCCAACACCTGCCCGCCCCCATGCCATGCCATGCCATGCACGTCCCCAGGTGCCATGCACACAGCCACGAGACAGATGATTGTTGGGAGACGAGAGTAATATGAGAAGTGCCCTTTGCTGAGCTAGTAGGAAGGTGAGTGGCGGTGACCAGAGCAGAGCGTGAGAGGTGCAACGGCAGATCCGTGCGTGAGTGAGAGAGCAAGGAGACAGCAGTAGAAGCAGCATGCGGCATGACATGCAGTGGCGGGCACGACAGCAGCCCCACCTTGGGTTGCTGCAGGCCGAAGAGGGCGGTGGTGTGGTCGGAGGAGCCAGCAGCGCCCACTGAGCCCTGTGGCGCCATGGCCACACACGTGATGGCGTCGCTGTGGAACAACGGCCCTGCCACATGTCGTGCACACAGGGGTGGGGTGATGGAGCAATGGCGCATGAGGCATGGAGCATGGGGCATGAAAATCGTGCAAATGGCATGGGGCAAGGGGCACGGGTCATTGGGCATGGCACATGGAAGGCCAGTTGAGAGAGAGACACCACCATTGCATATGTGAGGTGAGAGAGGTGGGGGGGGCGAGAGGTGGGACCAGTGAGAGGGTTGGGAGGGAAGAGAGGGGTAGGAGGGGCGAGAGGTGGGAGAGGTGGGAGAGGTGGGAGAGGTGGGAGAGGTGGGAGAAGGGAAAGCGTTGCCCTGAGACCTGCGAGGGTGGCGGTGGTGGCGGCAGAGCGCGGGTCCCAGCAGCGCACCGACCCGTCTGTTGACCCTGTCCACACCGCACGGCCTGAGGGGTGGGGGAGAAGGGGGGGAGCAGGATTGCGAGGGGAAGGAGAGCGATGAGTAGGGGTGGAGGAAGGGACTTTGAGTCGACTCAAAAGTCGCACTGACCCATCGGCCTTCCCGATCCACACTGCCCCGCTTGGTGGCGCGGAGAGGAAGGGGTGGAACGGGGTGGGAAGGGGTGGACGGGGAGGGGGAGGGTAAGTGGGGCATGCGAGCAAGGCAGAAGTGTGCTTCTGTGCCTCTGCGCTGCTCTGCTCTGCGCTGCTCTGCTCTGCTGTGCGCTGGACCGTACAGTGGGCTCTGTGGAAGTGCAGCAAGGCACGAGGAGAAGAGGGAGCAGAGGGAGCAGGGGGAGCAGAGGGAGCAGGTACCATCGGGGGAGAAGGCCCCACAGGTGACCCACCATCGGGGGAGAAGGCCCCACAGGTGACCCCCGCGCTGTGACCCGTGAAGACGGCCATGCACGCCCCCGTCTCCGCATTCCACATCCACGCTGTCAGATCCTCCGACCCCGCCAGTACCACCGCTCCCCGTGGATGCCACGTCAGGAACTGGGCAGGGAACGGGGGAGGCCGGGACAGGAGGGAGGACGGCACATTGAGGAAGCAGTGGGGGCCAGTGGGCAGCAGGAGAGAGGAGAGGACGGTGAGAGAGCGCACCATGCCACACCCAACCACAAGGAGCAGCAGCAGTGAGCAGCACGTGAGTCTCCCAGCGACACACACACACTGGCCCGCGCACCTCGATGCCCTCCCCGGGCCCCTCAAGGCGGTGGCGCCTGTCCCCCGTGGCGGCGTCCCACAGCATGACCACGCCGTCCAGCCCTGCTGTGGCCACCCACCGCCCGTCCCCACTGAACTCCACTGCTGCTATGCTGTCCCTGTGCCCTGCCATGCAGGGGAAGAAGCGGGTGGGGGTGGAGGGAAGTGGGTGGAGAGCAGGGGGTTCGTTGAATTGAAAGGAGGCGGGAGATGGTGCATGGCAGGCGTGTGGCAGTGCGCGCGAGCTGCTCTGCTGCGCCTTGTTCCTGCGCCTAGCCCATCCCAGTAAGGCACGCTCACGTGCTGGCATGCGGGCATGTGGTATTGGCATGTGGTATTAGCATGTGCACAGCAGCAGCAGCCCACCTTGGAGCTTAACGGGGTCCTCCGCCTGCCCGATGGTCCACAGGTACGCCACCTCGTCCCCACCACCCGACGCCACTCTGCCGCCCGGGAGTGGACTGCATGCCACGGCGTACACACTGTCTGGTGGGCGGCAGGGGGAGGGGTGAGACGAGAGAGAGAGGTGTTGCATGGACGCATGGCAGGCACAGCAGCGGGCACAGCAGCAGGCACAGCAGCGGGCACAGCAGCGGGCACAGCAGCGGGCACAGCAGCGGGCACAGCAGCGGGCACAGCAGCGAGCATAGCAGCGGGCACAGCAGCGAGCATAGCAGCAGGCACAGCAGTGAGCGCTATGCAGGTGTGGCATGCAGCGGTGAAGAGAGGAGCAGAGCACTGACCTGTGTGCGCCGTGAACACATGCACTGAGTCGTCCTGCCCGCCCTCCTCATCCTCCTCGCCCTCCTCTTGCCCTGCCACCATCCACCCCACAGCAGCATGCAATTAGTCACGGCACGTGCAGCACAGGGCAACGCATGAGAAGGGGCAACGGAAGGCAGTCAGTGCAGCAGCAGTGATGGAGCAGCACTGATGGAGCAGCAGTGATGGAGCAGCAGTGATGGAGCAGCACTGATGGAGCAGCAGTGATGGAGCAGCAGTGATGGAGCAGCACTGATGGAGAAGCACTGATGGAGCAGCAGTGATGGAGCAGCACTGATGGAGCAGCAGTGATGGAGCAGCACTGATGGAGCAGCACTGATGGAGCAGCAGTGATGGAGCAGCACTGATGGAGCAGCAGTGATGGAGCAGCACTGATGGAGCAGCAGTGATGGAGCAGCACTGATGGAGCAGCACTGATGGAGCAGCACTGATGGAGCAGCAGTGATGGAGCAGCACTGATGGAGCAGCAGTGATGGAGCAGCACTGATGGAGCAGCGGTGCGGCTGAACAGTACAGTGGAGTGCTCCCATTTCCATTCCCATTCCCACCCTTACAGCAAGCACAGGCACGCTGCCATGTCACCATGCCATGACCCCGATTTCCCCATTCATACACACCCACCTCCCACCACCACCCCTAGCCCTGCTCACCCATGCCATCGTCTGCCAGCTCAGCAGGCGCGTCGTCGTCGTCATCAAAGTCGGCCGACAGGACGTCATCGTCTGATGGCCGCACGGGGCAGCAGCGGCAAGGGGGAGTGGAAGGGAAATGAATGAGGCGAGGGCGAGTAGTTGAGGGGAAAGGGAAGCGGCACAGAAACCGAGTGAAGACAACTTGGCCTGCCAGGCTTGGGATGCAACTAGGAGAGCTCAAAAGGCAGCAACAGCATGGAGGAGCAGGCAACAAGGCACGTGAGTGCATGGCTGCTCCCTCCCACTATGTCATTACCTGCCGCCTCAGCACCCAACCGTCCCCACCGCCACCCCTCCACCCGTCACCGCGCCTGCAGCTCCCAGCCCAAAACCCTCCCGAGCGACGCTAAAGCCCCTGCTAACCCCTCAACCCCCTCAACTCATCCCAACTGCCAATCCCCCCCGCCGCTGCATCCCTCTCCCTTTGTCCCTTTCCCGCCCCCCCACCCTTTCTCCTCACCCCATCCTGCCCACCTCCGGAGTCGATTTCAACCAGCTCCTCGTCCCCCTCGCCCATCTCCGCAAATTCCTCCTCCCCTTCACGCCCCTCCTCCCCTTCCCCCTCCCGCTCTCCCCCGCGCATGCCGTTGGGCGGTCGCGACTGCACAGGGGTTCGGAGGGAGAGGAGCAGGGGTGATGGGGGACGGGATGGGGGGAGCACGGCGCGTGACTGAGGAGTGGAGAGTGGGCATGGGCGGGTGGGTGAGCCAAGGCGACTTTTAGAAAAGGAGGGTGAGCGAGCAAGTCAACGCGAGGCAGACGGAAAGAGATGCAATTGAAACACGGGTGGGAGCGAACGAGGCGGCGCGCAGCAGCGGGCATGGCGGCTGCGCCGGACGCCATGGCGGTGAAAGCGGATTGGGGCGAGGGGACGCGACAGGGCGTGACGCGTGCAACGGACCATGCGAAGCGGGTGTGGTGCGGCTGTCGGCGACGAGCGTGTGGGCGCGAAAAGGGGACCGGTGCCCTCCGCGGTTCCCCCAGGGATGGCGCGAGGTCGAGAGCAGCGGGGAATAATGTAGTGGGTGCACGGCGGGACGAGACGTCTCGAAGCACGCGAGAGAGGCTGACGTCACGGCGGTGCGAGAAGGACAGTGGGTAGACAAGGAGCAGCTAATCGTAGTGGTGGGTTGCCAACAGCACCTCAATGCTCCAAGGTGAACCCACGCTTTCCAATCTTCATATGCTCGGACGGCGTGTTTGATACATTCCCGAAATTCTGTTCCACCACGTAACAGGATCACATTTTCGCGGACAAAGTGTTCTTTTTCCCGGATCAATTTTCGTGGACAAAAATTACATGCAAACCAAACAACTTTGGGTCGGTCCCTGCGAACCGAGCCACTCCCAGCATGCTCGGCTGGAGCAAGCTCTCGATTGAAACACGCCCTCGACCCCATTTGCGACCCGACTCACCCCCCACGCACAGTATCGACATGTAATGCTTCGCCGCTCCCCATAAACCCTGCTTTGTGGACAGTGTTCGTTCCACCAACGTTACCTGATCGTCTATGCTTTTCAGGCGTCACGCGGTGCACCGGTTCGTCCCGACCCGATTGTAGTCCCACCTTTGCCACGCCGCTCACCGTCGTCGACTCCTTTCTTCACTCGCGCGCCGTAGCCTCGCCGCCCGCCAACCATCGAAGTCCCCATCTATCCGCCTCTCCCCCGCCTCGCATTCCTCCCCCGCCGCTTCGCCATGGTGGTGCGCGAGCCGCCCCCGCTGGAGCAGGTGCAGCGGCTCGGCGCGCAGCTGCTGCAGTCGCGGGAGCACGTCAACAACGTCGTCGCGCTGCTGCGATTCGCGACGCATCGCGACGGCGCGGTGGCGGCGGAGGCGGTGACGGTGCTGCAGGCGTTCTTCGCGCAGCTGCTGCGCTCCGACGAGCTGCTGCTCCACCCCGCGCCCTGTATGCCCCTCGCGGCCCATTAAAATTCCTGCGCCCAGTATAATCCCTGAACCCTCATAAACCCCTTTCCTACCGTCTCCGCTTCAAACCCTGTCCGTGCCCCGTCATGGTGCCAAATCCCGCTATTGCGCGCCGCTGCCTGACACGGCGGGGGAGGGGCTCTGCCAGCAGCCCCGCAGCCGCTACCGCCGCGCTATGCATTTCCCCCCTCTCACACGCCCTTTCCTCCCGTCATGCCACGTGGCAGCTAGCCGCTCGGGCGGCGCGGGCGGGCGGGCGGGGGAGGAGCGGGCGAAGGAGGAGGTGTATCAGCAGTGGGCGCGCGCGCGGTATGGCGAGTACACGGGCGCGCTCAAGGCGCGCCTCAGATCCGAGGAGGGCAGTGCCGCTAGCAAGGTGCGCGGAGGCGCAGGTGGGAGAGGGGAATCGTGTTGGTGGGGGTGGGCATGGGGAGCAGATAGGCGCGTAGAAGGACGTGGAAGGCGGGGGCGCATCGCAGGGGGGATGCTGGGGGAGTGAAGGCGAGGGGGAATGGGGGGTGGGGAGAGGGCGGTGCAGGCAGGAGCAGGGCGGATGGCGGATGGCGGAGGGCGGGGAGGAGGAAGGGCGTGGCGATGGGTGGGCGACTGTGGTCCGGGGGACGAATGCACGAGCCATGCACTTCACTGGGTGTGAACATCCACACTATCCTTCTTCCTCCCCTCTACGCGCTCCCCAACCGCTCCCCCATCAGCGCATAGCGGTGGAGCATCTGATGGAGCTGGCTCGTCTGGAAAAGAAGGGCGGCCTGGCTGGCGCCACCATCAACAAAATACTCATCCCGCTGGTGAGCCGTGCCATGCCGCTGGTGAGCCGCACCATGCCCCTGGTGAGCCGCGCCATGCCCCTCGTCAGCTGAGCCATGCCCATTCACACCAACCGCTCTTCCATGACCGTCATTGCCAATCGTCTCCTGATCCTTTTTCCTCCTCTCCCTTTTCCCCACCTCCCCCACCTCCCCCCTCTCCCCCTCCTCTCCTCTCCCCTCCCCCCCAGGTGGAGGGCGAGGCGGGGGACCCCTCAGTGCGCGCCAAGCTCGCCTCCTTCTTCACCCATGCTGACGTCAGGTGGGTGCGTGTTTCGGTGCGCTGCACATGGCATGCTGTTGTGCCTCTGCTCCTGCATCCCGTGCATGCCGTGCCCATCACCATCACCACTCGCAGCCACCATCATTGTCCTTCACCGCCCCTCTCACCCCCACACCCGCGCTCCCACGCCACGCCATGGCAGGCGGCATGTGTACGGGGCAGTGGAGCAGCTGTGTGCGTCCATGGCTGCTGCTGCCGCCAAGCACTCAAGCGCTGCTCAGGATGCTGATGCCCATGCAGGTGCGCCACCTGCATGCCACTGCGCTGGCTTGGGCCATCATCTGCCTGCACACACACACACACACACACACACACACTACATTCCACGTCCCTGCTTCGCTTCTTGCTGTCTTGCCTTCAATCCAATGAAATACATACTTTAGCCCAAGGCAGGCACTGCTGCCTGTGTTTCAATAGTAGTGCCCAATGATGACAATGCTCGTGCGACGTGCATTCCTTCTCCACCTCTCCTCCCCATTCTCCTCCCTGTGCGCCCTGCCACCACAACCGTGCGTGCCTGCTCTGCTCACACACGCCATGTGCTGCTCGCTGGATCGTGCCTGCCTGCCCGCCTTCCTCCCTGCCTGCCTGTGTGCTCTCGGCCTGCCTGCGTGCCACGTGTGCTCAGCCGTCGCCAAGCGAGTGAGTGTCCGGTCCGCCCACACCGCACCCCTGCGCACTGCCAGTACCTTCACCAGTGAACCTGTGTGCTTCCCCACTCGCTGCACAGCAACCACGCCTCACGCCTCCTGCTGTGCTGCGCTGCGCTCTTCTCAAACAGTGTGTCTTCTCCTCATTGTCATCACCTCTCCTCCCACGCACCAATCACAGGACGCCATGTGTCTCAACATATTGGAGGTGCTGCTAGCCATGCCCATGCCGCCCGCCCCCAAGCCGGGCGGCAAGAGGCTGCTGGCGGAGGAGGGGCAGGGCGGCGGCGAGCAGGACGACCTGCTCTCCACCTGGGCGCTGCCCGCCCCGCCCTCTGGTGCGTGCTACCTTGGCTTCGGTGGGGTCCCCACCGCTCCTCCTTCCCCTGCACTTGCCGTTCTTGCTTGTCACTTGCGCTCATCTCCCTGTGCGCCTCCCTCTCACTTCCACTCTGTCTTCCGCTCGTCTCTTCCCCAACCCCTGTGGAGCACAGGGGGAGCGCAGCAGCGGGGGGGCAAGCAGAGTGCCGGTGGCAAGCGAGGGAGACAGGCAGGGCAGCAGGGCAGCAGGAAGCGGGCTGCGGGGATGAAAGACGAGGGGGAGAGGGAGGAAGAGGGGGAGCAGGGGGAGGGGGAGGCGGAGGAGAGGAGGGCAGCGGTGGTGGGGGAGGAGCGCAAGGCCCTGGCAGGGGCGTGGCTGGGGCTGCTTGCCCTGCCTCTGCCCCTCGAAGCTTACAAGAAGGTCGGTACTACCACCCCCCCTCGCCACACCCCGCACCCCTTCTGCCCCAACATCTCCACCCCCCCCCCCCCCCTCCCCCCTCTCCCCCCCCTCTCCACACAATCTACAATTAAACCTTAAACCCGTTTGGCATCTTCCGTGTCTCAACATTGCCTTCTCTCCTGGCCCATCCCTTGGCGCGCCCTCCACCATGCCGCAGGTGTTGGGTCGACTGCACAACCTCATTCCACATCTGCCCAATCCCTTGCTGCTCAGGTGCGCTCCTGCCCCTCCGCCCACCCGTCGCACCTCCTGCCACCGCGTCCAAAGCATGTTTCGCGTCCAAAGAATGTTTCGCGTCCAAAGCATGTTTCGCGTCCAAAGCATGTTTCGCGTCCAAAGCATGTTTCGCGTCCAAAGCATGTTTCGCGTCCAAAGCATGTTTCGCGTCCAAAGCATGTTTCGCGTCCAAAGCATGTTTCGCGTCCAAAGCATGTTTCGCGTCCAAAGCATGTTTCGCGTCCAAAGCATGTTTCGCGTCCAAAGCATGTTTCGCGTCCAAAGCATGTTTCGCGTCCAAAGCATGTTTCGCGTCCAAAGCATGTTTCGCGTCCAAAGCATGTTTCGCGTCCAAAGCATGTTTCGCGTCCAAAGCATGTTTCGCGTCCAAAGCATGTTTCGCGTCCAAAGCATGTTTCGCGTCCAAAGCATGTTTCGCGTCCAAAGCATGTTTCGCGTCCAAAGCATGTTTCGCGTCCAAAGCATGTTTCGCGTCCAAAGCATGTTTCGCGTCCAAAGCATGTTTCGCGTCCAAAGCATGTTTCGCGTCCAAAGCATGTTTCGCGTCCAAAGCATGTTTCGCGTCCAAAGCATGTTTCGCGTCCAAAGCATGTTTCGCGTCCAAAGCATGTTTCGCGTCCAAAGCATGTTTCGCGTCCAAAGCATGTTTCGCGTCCAAAGCATGTTTCGCGTCCAAAGCATGTTTCGCGTCCAAAGCATGTTTCGCGTCCAAAGCATGTTTCGCGTCCAAAGCATGTTTCGCGTCCAAAGCATGTTTCGCGTCCAAAGCATGTTTCGCGTCCAAAGCATGTTTCGCGTCCAAAGCATGTTTCGCGTCCAAAGCATGTTTCGCGTCCAAAGCATGTTTCGCGTCCAAAGCATGTTTCGCGTCCAAAGCATGTTTCGCGTCCAAAGCATGTTTCGCGTCCAAAGCATGTTTCGCGTCCAAAGCATGTTTCGCGTCCAAAGCATGTTTCGCGTCCAAAGCATGTTTCGCGTCCAAAGCATGTTTCGCGTCCAAAGCATGTTTCGCGTCCAAAGCATGTTTCGCGTCCAAAGCATGTTTCGCGTCCAAAGCATGTTTCGCGTCCAAAGCATGTTTCGCGTCCAAAGGCAGTTCCGTCAAAGCATGTTTCGCGTCCAAAGCATGTTTCGCGTCCCAAAGCATGTTTCGCGTCCAAGCATGTTTTCGCGTCCAAGCATGTTTCGCGTCCAAAGCATGTTTCGCGTCCAAAGCATGTTTCGCGTCCAAAGCATGTTTCGCGTCCAAAGCATGTTTCGCGTCCAAGCATGTTTCGCGTCAAAGCATGTTTCGCGTCCAAAGCATGTTTCGCGTCCAAAGCATGTTTCGCGTCCAAAGCATGTTTCGCGTCCAAAGCATGTTTCGCGTCCAAAGCATGTTTCGCGTCCAAAGCATGTTTCGCGTCCAAAGCATGTTTCGCGTCCAAAGCATGTTTCTGCGTCCAAAGCATGTTTCGCGTCCAAAGCATGTTTTCGCGTCCAAAGCATGTTTCGCGTCCAAAGCATGTTTCGCGTCCAAAGCATGTTTCGCGTCCAAAGCATGTTTCGCGTCCAAAGCATGTTCGCGTCCAAAGCATGTTTCGCGTCCAAAGCATGTTTCGCGTCCAAAGCATGTTTCGCGTCCAAAGCATGTTTCGCGTCCAAAGCATGTTTCGCGTCCAAAGCATGTTTCGCGTCCAAAGCATGTTTTCGCGTCCAAAGCATGTTCGTCCAAGCATGTTTCGCGTCCAAAGCATGTTTCGCGTCCAAAGCATGTTTCGCGTCCAAAGCATGTTTCGCGTCCAAAGCATGTTTCGCGTCCAAAGCATGTTTCGCGTCCAAAGCATGTTTCGCGTCCAAAGCATGTTTCGCGTCCAAAGCATGTTTCGCGTCCAAAGCATGTTTCGCGTCCAAAGCATGTTTCGCGTCCAAAGCATGTTTCGCGTCCAAAAGCTGTTTCGCGTCCAAAGCATGTTTCGCGTCCAAAGCATGTTTCGCGTCCAAAGCATGTTTCGCGTCCAAAGCATGTTTCGCGTCCAAAGCATGTTTCGCGTCCAAAGCATGTTTCGCGTCCAAAGCATGTTTCGCGTTCCAAAGCATGTTCGCGTCCAAAGCATGTTTCGCGTCCAAAGCATGTTTCGCGTCCAAAGCATGTTTCGCGTCCAAAGCATGTTTCGCGTCCAAAGCATGTTTCGCGTCCAAAGCATGTTTCGCGTCCAAAGCATGTTTCGCGTCCAAAGCATGTTTCGCGTCCAAAGCATGTTTCGCGTCCAAAGCATGTTTCGCGTCCAAAGCATGTTTCGCGTCCAAAGCATGTTTCGCGTCCAAAGCATGTTTCGCGTCCAAAGCATGTTTCGCGTCCAAAGCATGTTTCGCGTCCAAAGCATGTTTCGCGTCCAAAGCATGTTCGCGTCCAAAGCATGTTTCGCGTCCAAAGCATGTTTCGCGTCCAAAGCATGTTTTCGCGTCCAAAGCATGTTTCGCGTCCAAAGCATGTTTCGCGTCCAAAGCATGTTTTCGCGTCCCAAAGCATGTTTCGCGTCCAAAGCATGTTTCGCGTCCAAAGCATGTTTCGCGTCCAAAGCATGTTTCGCGTCCAAAGCATGTTTCGCGTCCAAAGCATGTTTCGCGTCCAAAGCATGTTTCGCGTCCAAAGCATGTTTCGCGTCCAAAGCATGTTTCGCGTCCAAAGCATGTTTCGCGTCCAAAGCATGTTTCGCGTCCAAAGCATGTTTCGCGTCCAAAGCATGTTTCGCGTCCAAAGCATGTTTCGCGTCCAAAGCATGTTTCGCGTCCAAAGCATGTTTCGCGTCCAAAGCATGTTTCGCGTCCAAAGCATGTTTCGCGTCCAAAGCATGTTTCGCGTCCAAAGCATGTTTCGCGTCAAAGCATGTTTCGCGTCCAAAAGCATGTTTCGCGTCCAAAGCATGTTTCGCGTCCAAAGCATGTTTCGCGTCCAAAGCATGTTTCGCGTCCAAAGCATGTTTCGCGTCCAAAGCATGTCCAAGCATGTTCGCGTCCAAAGCATGTTTCGCGTCCAAAGCATGTTTCGCGTCCAAAGCATGTTCGCGTCAAAAGGCATGTTTCGCGTCCAAAGCATGTTTCGCGTCCAAAGCATGTTTCGCGTCCAAAGCATGTTTTCGCGTCCAAAGCATGTTTCGCGTCCAAAGCATGTTTCGCGTCCAAAGCATGTTTCGCGTCCAAAGCATGTTTCGCGTCCAAAGCATGTTTCGCGTCCAAAGCATGTTTCGCGTCCAAAGCATGTTCGCGTCCAAAGCATGTTCGCGTCCAAAGCATGTTTCGCGTCCAAGCATGTTTCGCGTCCAAAGCATGTTTCGCGTCCAAAGCATGTTTCGCGTCCAAAGCATGTTTCGCGTCCAAAGCATGTTTCGCGTCCAAAGCATGTTTCGCGTCCAAAGCATGTTTCGCGTCCAAAGCATGTTTCGCGTCCAAAGCATGTTTCGCGTCCAAAGCATGTTTCGCGTCCAAAGCATGTTTCGCGTCCAAAGCATGTTTCGCGTCCAAAGCATGTTTCGCGTCCAAAGCATGTTTCGCGTCCAAAGGCATGTTTCGCGTCCAAAGCATGTTTCGCGTCCAAAGCATGTTTCGCGTCCAAAGCATGTTTCGCGTCCAAAGCATGTTTCGCGTCCAAAGCATGTTTCGCGTCCAAAGCATGTTTCGCGTCCAAAGCATGTTTCGCGTCCAAAGCATGTTTCGCGTCCAAAGCATGTTTCGCGTCCAAAGCATGTTTCGCGTCCAAAGCATGTTTCGCGTCCAAAGCATGTTTCGCGTCCAAAGCATGTTTTCGCGTCCAAAGCATGTTTCGCGTCCAAAGCATGTTTCGCGTCCAAAGCATGTTTCGCGTCCAAAGCATGTTTCGCGTCCAAAGCATGTTTCGCGTCCAAAGCAAAGGGGTTCGCGTCCAAAGCATGTTTCGCGTCCAAAAGCATGTTTCGCGTCCAAAGCATGTTTCGCGTCCAAAGCATGTTTCGCGTCCAAAGCATGTTTCGCGTCCAAAGCATGTTCGCGTCCAAAGCATGTTTCGCGTCCAAAGCATGTTTCGCGTCCAAAGCATGTTTCGCGTCCAAAGCATGTTTCGCGTCCAAAGCATGTTTCGCGTCCAAAGCATGTTTCGCGTCCAAAGCATGTTTCGCGTCCAAAGCATGTTTCGCGTCCAAGGGGTCCAAAGCATGTTTCGCGTCCAAAGCATGTTCGCGTCCAACAGCATGTTTCGCGTCCAAAGCATGTTTCGCGTCCAAAGCATGTTTCGCGTCCAAGCATGTTTCGCGTCCAAAGCATGTTCGCGTCCAAAGCATGTTTCGCGTCCAAAGCATGTTTCGCGTCCAAAGCATGTTTCGCGTCCAAAGCATGTTTCGCGTCCAAAGCATGTTTCGCGTCCAAAGCATGTTTCGCGTCCAAAGCATGTTTCGCGTCCAAAGCATGTTTCGCGTCCAAAGCATGTTTCGCGTCCAAAGCATGTTTCGCGTCCAAAGCATGTTTCGCGTCCAAAGCATGTTTCGCGTCCAAAGCATGTTTCGCGTCCAATAGCATGTTTTCGCGTCCAAAAGCATGTTTCGCGTCCAAAGCATGTTTCGCGTCCAAAGCATGTTTCGCGTCCAAAGCATGTTTCGCGTCCAAGCATGTTTCGCGTCCAAAGCATGTTTCGCGTCCAAAGCATGTTTCGCGTCCAAAGCATGTTTCGCGTCCAAAGCATGTTTCGCGTCCAAAGCATGTTTCGCGTCCAAAGCATGTTTCGCGTCCAAAGCATGTTTCGCGTCCAAAGCATGTTTCGCGTCCAAAGCATGTTTCGCGTCCAAAGCATGTTTTCGCGTCCAAAGCATGTTTCGCGTCCAAAGCATGTTTCGCGTCCAAAGCATGTTTCGCGTCCAAAGCATGTTTCGCGTCCAAAGCATGTTTCGCGTCCAAAGCATGTTTCGCGTCCAAAGCATGTTTCGCGTCCAAAGCATGTTTCGCGTCCAAAGCATGTTTCGCGTCCA